ATACACGTTTCAAATACAACAAAATGATTCTTCGATCGATTTTTAATAACGTTTACATTATATAAAATAAATGTATAACATCGAGCGAAGAGAATAATGATTCTCATATTTTGCAAATAAATATTTTACATTGCAAATAATCCTATAGACAATATAAAAAAAAAGCTCGTACACACACGTTGTCACTTTAAATCGACATATAAATATATACATAGATACATACGTTGAATTATTATCGTATCTCATAGTGATATTATAAAATAATTAGATTTCGACTTATCATCTTAAATATTCATCCAGATTGTTATCGTAAGAACGTTTTACAGAGATCACGTTGATATTTGTCGTGCAAATATTTTTTAAGAATCGATGGATGAATAAAAATTGATCATAGTTCTATGGTAATTCTAGTTTTCTAAAACACAAGAAAGAAAGAAAGAAGGATAGAAAGAAAGAAAGAAAGAAAGAAAGAAAGAAAGAAAGAAAGAAAAAAAGGAAGGAAGGAAGGAAGGAAGGAAGGAAGGAAGGAAGAAAGAAAGGACGAATAGTTTAACTCGGAAATTTCTTTTCTTTCTCAACTCTACGGGGAATACGGAAGTAGCGGTAAAGCTACCGAGAAAATGAAAGAAGTAATGGTCGAAGGTGATTGTCCGGAAAGGAAGCATAGCCTACGGGTAGCGGCTTCACGATTTGCCAAAGCTGGAATAATAATGAAGAAAACAAAGGAAACCTCTAGCGCTTGGTCTTTTCCATAACGATATGCAATATCGATCGATTACATCATTCTTAGTCTACTTACCTTCATTTTCCTACGTTTAGTATCCTCGTGAAATTACGCTTACGTAAGCTACACTTAGGTGAATTCATTTAATAGAGTTCAAAGAAGTTTCGATCCTCTCCTTTATTCTTATGGCGTTATATCAATCGTATTTTGCCATTTATATTTCATTAAAAATGAAGTAACTCTAATCAATTTTTTATTTTTATTTTCCATCCACCTCCCCTCCACCCACTCCCTCCCACCACCACCAATACCATCAACACGTTATAATGATTATCTATACGAAGTGAGTATTCGCAAATAATTTTCTTCATAGTTTTGCAGTAGTTCTTCTATTCGAGATATTAAAGAGTAACGAAACGTTCGAAAATTTATGGCTTGGACCGTATAATCTCAGACCGAAAGAAAAGGTACGAGAGAAAAAAAAGCTTAAAAAAGAGGAAGGAAAAAGTAAAACCGTTCACCTCGGCGGCATTGTTCCAGGGAGGCCTTTCAATCTCCGAGCCATTATTAAAGCGCTTAAAGAGAAGAATTTATCGCGTCTGTGGGCATCATCGCGCTCGATCTTGTCTATCCTCTCTCTCTCTCTCTCTCTCTCTCTCTCTCTCTCTCTCTCTCTCTCTCTCTAGTACCATACCTATATCTTTTTCTTTCTATTTCTCCCTGTGCCTTCGCTTATCCCTGGAATTCTGAATTCTGGCAAAAAGATATTCGGATCAATCAGAAATAAGTGAAGGAATTTGGAGAATTATAGAGCGTTTAATATTGCCAGGAATAGAGTACTAATCGAAGTATAATCCAGTATGTGTATGTGGGAGAGAAAGAGAGAGAGAGAGAGAGAGAGAGGGGGAGAGAAAGAGATAGAAAAGGATTTTGAGTTCTGAATTAAATGCACGCTCATCCAAAGATCTGACCTAATTACATATCTTCTCGGTAGAATATGAGCGTATATAATATACGGTAAACGTACATACATATTCTGTAATGAAGAGATCAGAGCCGGCATTTGGAATTAGGAATTCTCAGGGGTTTTGAATTTTCGACTAAATACAGAATGGAATTTTATCCCTTATCCTTGATCCTTCCTCTTTCTATTATCACCAGTTTCTACGAACATGCTCAGGGAGGACTCAGTAAAGGAGTCTGTACTTGACAGCATCAAAATGAACGGCATGTAGACGTTAAAAGAACTCGAGGATGAGTTAAACTTCGTGTACGTTTATAATGACGTAAAGAAAAAAAAAAATAAAGAAAAAAAAAAAAAATGAAAAAAAATAAATAACTAAAAAAAAAAAAAAAAAAGAAAAAAAAAATAAAGAAATGGAAAAAAAAGAGTGTACCCCTCGGTACGTGTTCTTCTATGTATAAAAGAAAGAAAGAAAAAAAAAAAAAAAAAAAAAAAAAACAACAAGAAAAATTTTATTATTACATTTTCGGATTTATCGTGTTCCACCCCTAAAATCCTAAACATTTATGGTTCATTAGAAATAACATGAAACTTTGCTACTGTATGCCGACGCTTTTCAACGTGAATTTATGCACGCGGAATTAAATAGATGCGCTCGGACATTTTTGCAGTTAGACGATTCCTCGGTGGAATATTATCTGCTCTCTGAAAATGTTCGTCGTTCCAGCGAGCTACGGAGAAGCGCGTAAGTTAGTCGCAAGCGCGATGACAAAGGGCGATATACGTAGCACGTTATAACATTAAGCGTGCACCACCGTGGAAGCGGCACTAATTGTAAACTAACGAACTCAAATTGGATTTAAATTACAACGGCTGGCTGCAGAGAGAACATAGCTCTCGCGAATCGACGCATTTCTGCTTCGTTTCTTTTTTCGTAACTTTCTGCGCTTACCATCCCTTCCGCTTTTTCTTTAAAAAAAATTCTTTTTTTTTTCGTTTTGTTTCTCTCTCTCTCTCTCTCTCTCAATGGAGGAGAGACGGGAATATAAAATAATCTTATTTTTGTTTGATTTTTCTCAAAGACCACAAGATGAGAGAATTCAATTTCAATGGTCGCCCCTTTTACTCGATTTCCCGTTTCCATTTTCACCTAGCTAACCATTGACACGAACTTAAACCAATGGACTTCTAACATTATTGGGAATGAAGAAAAAAGGCCGACATAGTCATCAAAGTGAACTTTTCTCAAAGGAAACATTCGGAAATTTTCAAAGGATGTTACAGAGTTCCTCTTAGGTTCTTGCTTTGAAATATTTCCGAATGCCGTTCCGATTTACCCTTAAACTTTTCTTATTGATATTAACTCCTAGTTAAATTATTTTTAACAAATTCGAAAAAAAAACACATATATATATATCGAAAATATTGAATTAAAAATAAAACTATATAACTTGCCTCGTTGTAAATTTTGTCGATGTACTCAGTATTCATAAAATTATGAGGAGATAAAAAGAAAAAGATAAAGAGATAAAGAGGTAGAGAGAAAGAGAGAGAGAGAAAGATAGAGGTGTAGAGAGAGAGAGAGAGAGAGAGAGAGAGAGAGAGAGAGAGAGAGAGAGAGGATATAAAGACAACGCACATGCTTTTACGAATAGGAAAAAAGGAATAAGGGAAAAAGGACAAAAGTTTCTTTTTCGCGATGGTATTCTTTGTCGTCGTTGCTTCTTATGTATTCGTACATTCGTCTCTATGTCTCTAGATGGTATATTCAACGTTCGACGACGTGTTCGCTCGCGTCCTAGAGAATCTAGCGAGTAAGCACAGAAAACTATAGTTCTCTTTTATCTTTCTATCTTTACTATTTCGAAAGAGTATTCGCTCATACGACGAAACCATGGACAAAAGCTTCTCGAGAATACGCAACGAAGGATGTGCTTCGTATTCGCCACGCGAGTTTTGCAACAGACGAAAGAAGAACTAAAAAGGATAAAGGAAATAAAATGAAGAAGAAGAAGAAGAAAAAGAAGATATATATATATATATATATATATATATATATATGTATATATATAGAGAGAGAGAGAGAGAGAGTGAGACAGATTGTGTGTGTGTGTGTGTGTATGTGTGTGTGAGAGAGCGAGAAAGAGAGAGAAAAATGGGGGGAAAAGAGTAAAGCGTGAATCGCACGTCAAAAAATTCCACCGACTTTTCCATGGCCCATAGTCGAAGAGTACTTTTCGTGTTTTCCAACGACGAACGAAAAATTGTCTTCCTTTGGATAAAGCTAACAGTACGGTGAACGCCTTCAGAAGCAGTTAGTCCTTTTTCTTTTCTTTTAACACTCTCGAACCATTTCTCTCTTTCCCTCTCTCTTTCTCTTTTTTTTTCTCTCTTTTCCTCTCGAATGAAACTCAAGAACAATGATGATCGGTCGATGAGAAGAGAAGTATGATAAATTGAAATGGCTATTGGTACGAACGACCATCGACAATCATATCTGACCAAACGAGCAGCCAGCTAAGTGCTATACTATGTACGTATAAGCTCTTAAAACTCTCTCTTTCTCTCTCTCTCTCTCTCTCTCTCTCTCTCTCTCTCTAAGTATGAAATGGTTCTCCTATATTAGTATTAAGAGATTTTCGTACTGTTAAATGAAATTTCTTCTTGAGAAAGAAATTCCTTTTTTCTTTTTTTTTTTTTTTTTTTTTTCTTTTTTTTCTTTGATTTTCATATTGAACGACTATAAATTCTTTTTTTATATAGCGCTTTTCTTTTTTTTTTTTTTTTTTCTTTTTTGCTTTTAATATTCCTTCTGTAAAATCTGTCATGGATATTTGAACATTCGATAATACGAATTCACGATTCGATAATACATATATTCGTCGGTGTAAATTATAAATCAATCTTAGGATTAAATAGAGGCAAAAAAAAAATAAAATTCGTCGTATTATGACGAATCAAAGTTGTAACGATTCTTTGTAATCGATATTGATGAATTACTTCGATCAAATGAATCTTACACTCAACGATTATTTATTTCTCGTACGATAGAAACATTTTTTAATATCATTCACTTTTCTTTTTCACATATATGTATATATATATATATATATATATAAATTTTTGGAAGTACAAAAAAAAAAAGAAAAAGAAAAAGAATGAAAGAAAGAAACAATCCTTCGTGATTTTCTTTGATTCGAAAACGAAGTAATGCGACGAACGAAAATGGAAGGTTCGAAATGCACAGGTTCGATCTTCACCTTGGAATGACAGGATCGAGGAAAGTATACGGTGACATAGAAAGCTACTTACGCGGAGCCGTTGTGACGTCCAATAGAAACTAGACGATAGATCTGTAATTCGACTCTCTGTCCAGTATCCGGGACGAATCTGTACGTACACCTTGAAGGACCTTCAAGATACGGCGATTTTATTTGTCCAAAACCACGATCCGATTTACTGAATAACAATCTGCTATCCAGCGTTATATTGCACACTGCAAAAAGAAATATGCATAGAGTTTTACATCATAATATTTTTACAAGAACAATATAATAATGATAAAAAAAAAAAAAAAAAAAAAAAAAAAAATAAATAAATAAATAAAAAAAATAAAGATAGTACATGCGTGCGTATGTGCGTTGCTGTATATATATGTGTATGTATGTGTATGTATGTGTGTGCGTGTGTGTGTGAGAGAGAGAGAGAGAAAGGGAAACTGTAATTCAGTATTTGTGGTATTGATTGAGCTTATTGACATTTACTATATCCCTTAAAGGTATAAAGTATAAGTAAAAAGAATGTATGACTTCTTCAAAGAAGGATAAAATTTCAAATGGATGAAAAAACTTTTTTTTATCCTCAATCGACCGAGTCAAGACTTATCCTGTAAAAGAATGAAACTTTCGAAATGTTTCGAAGACTCTTACAGAAAGGTTTTATTCTCGGCGAAATAAAGAAGGAAGCTTCCTTAATTTTACTAGTTCGCGAAAGAATTTACTTTGGGTAAAGAAAGAAAGAAAGAAAGAAAGATACAGATAGATAGATATATATCTAGAGAGAGAAAGAGAGAAAGAGTGAGAGAGAGAGAGAGAGAAAAGAAAAGAAAAGAAAAGAGAAAAGAATTCGTGCACGGTACAAAGTAATTGTGTACAGGTAAAAAAAAAAAAAAAAAAAAAAGAAAAAGAAAAAAAAAAAGAGAAAAAACGAAAAACAAAAAAGAAAACCAAAAAAAAAAGGAAAAAACAAAAAATACAAAAGAAAAGAAGAATAAGAAAAGCTTTTTGCCAACATAGAAAATGTCTTCTTTACTTCCATTGCTTTGCATCGATAACCGGATAATAAATTCAACCACTTTCAGTAGCTCCTTACATCGCTCTCTTTGAAATTATTTTTAATTATACCTTCTTTGTGAAATACGAAATATTCTTATGGAATAATTGTACTATTCTTTACTTTAGACGAGATAAAAATCTGTTGGCGTGAATATCGTTATAACGTTTGTTTTATATGTTTCGAAAGAATAACGATATAAATTAAAATTCTTCGAAATTTCAAATAATAATTTGTCGAGTCAATTAAAACGAACAAATAATAAAAATATATTTCATCCTCGATATTTTTGTTTTATCTATTATATAAATGGACAGTGATAATGTCAAGTATATTTAATATTTTTCATTTGACGTTTCAACGACGACATTAAAAGACAATATTATATAAAATAATTTCAATCTTAATTGATTTCTTTTACGATTAATACCATTATCCTTCGTCGTATTAAATATTCATAGGTATATACTTTATTCACGCTCAATTATATGTTTTCTATTGAATTTAAATTCATCGTTGTTCATACGGATCATATACGATCAATGTAATCATGTAAATTATCATCGATACATTAAAGATTTCCTTGAGGGGAAAAAAAAGAAAATAAAAAAATAAAAGAGAGATCGGATGAGAAACTTTAGAACAGTTATTTAATAATTTGAGAATTTCTGAAAACAAAATTATGTACCGTCATTATGTTTATGTTATAGTGCATGAAAAGAATGTTTGAAAAGATACGTTAGGAATATGAGAAAGGATCATTAATGTGCTCTTCGACAAAGAAATCCTTTTCCTCATTTTGGCTCGTCGAAATTTGAAAGATTAATCGAACGAAGATAAGCTTTTCAGATTAGATTCACAAGAGACTTTGACATGACTTAATTCGGTATAACGATGATACTTTGTGAAAATTCACTATTATATCATATTAACGTCCTGTCATTGTCGAACATATCTGGGAAATCATTAAGAGATAGTAACAGGAAAAGAGAGAGAGAGAGAGAGAGAGAGAGAGGATGAAAGAGGAAGAAAGAGGGAAAGAGAAGCTATTCTCCATCGTGGAAAGCGTTATAGTAGCGAGGAGCTTTGAGACGAACAGACTTTAACTTACTGTTGGCGCAGTGTTGCTCGAGGCCACATTGAGCGCACCTGTTGGGCGAAGCTGTGCCGCAGCTGCAACCACCGGAGGGTACGCAACAAGCGCACTCGTTGCTAGACGAATTGAAGCTGCAAGCACAGCCCGTTGTGCTCTGCGTCCAAAGGTCCACTTTTCTTTCGGATCCGCCTAAAACAGAATGAAATTTTTCATTCAAAATGTTTAAACGACATTAATCTACGAATACACGTATCATATATAGTAATATTACGAAAAAAGAAAAAAAAGATGAATGGAAATGATAAATATCGTTCTGCTTAGACGATTAAAACGATTAGATGATAATAATAATAATAATAATAATAATAATAATAATAATAATAATAATAATAGTAATAATAATAATAATAATAATAATAATAATAATAATAATAATAATAATAGTAATAATAATAATAATAATAATAATAATAATCGTAACTCCATTATATTCTTTTAACTTGTCTAATTCTATTAATAAGTTAATTAGAATCAGATAAATCGATAAAGACGATCGTAAATAAGCTCAAACGATTACGACAAATTTACGCGACTTTTGTTTTAGTTCCGTTCGATTGGACGATTGATTTTTTCGTCGATAAAAAGAAAAAAAAAAAAAAATTCAATTTTACGGTATATATACACGGAGCGATCTATTGGGTAGGAAACATTCGTCGGTTCGGAAACTCGACGCACTTTTGCAAACAAACAAAGTTGCGATTCAAAGGATTTTTACGTGGAACCAATTCAGGAACCTTTTGTCGGTTGGTTTTGCTGGTACATTCGATTCGTTTTCGGACCGATATTCACGTCACGATATAACGTTTTACGTTTTTCACTGTTGAGTTTGGTTTCTCTGTAGTCTTCTAACTATGTCTGTTTCTCTTCGTCTCTGTACTTCAGTTCTGTCTTCCTTGTTCACGTCGTACTTTTTATTTCTCTCTCTCTCTCTCTTTCTCTCCCGCTCTCGTTCCCTTTCTCTCTTGTATTTTGACATCCCAAGGTAATTGTAAATAGAAACGTGTTGGAAAACAACGTTGCTTGCAAGAAATACGTCTCTCTGACGAGCGATTGTTCATTGTTTTTGCCAACTTTTTACGGAAAACAATCATCCCTTTTTCGAATACGTTCGTTCACAAATTCCTACGAATTTCTTCGTGACTCGTACAGTTAAAGAAGAGAGAGAGAGAGAGAGAGAGAGAGAGAGAGAGAGAGAGAGAGAGAGAGAGAGAAGAAGAAACGTAAAAGGATTCATGTTTAGCATTCGTTTGACAGAAAAAAAAAATGGGCCAACATTGGAGATCAATTTAAAAAGATTACATCGAGAGTGATATATTTAATAGAGTCCTTGTAAAACATTTTCTTATACCGATAAAAATGTGCGTATGTAAAGGAAAACGAAACGATATGTCTACGTGCAAATGGGAAAGAGTTCGACATTTAATAGAGATTTTTGCTTGATTCCGCATAGAAGACGTAAGAGATACGTAAGCGTGATTGATCGTTTGCTTTGAACGAAGAAAATGTGGTTGAGGATAGGCCAGGTGGCCGGAATACGATGTGCCAGAGTACGGAAAAGAGTAAAGAGGAAAGAAGAAGAGGAATAAAAGAGAGAGAGAAAGAGAGAGATAGAGAGAGAGAGAGAGAGAGAGAGAGAGAAGAAAAGTAAAAAAGGACTAGGAGTAAGGTAAAGGTTCTTTTCTAGAAAAGAAAAAAGGGAAGTGTGAGTTAGATGGGCGGGGAAGGGTGAAAGAAGACATAAATTCCAGAGCAGTGTAAAAAGGGCGTTAAGAGGAGAAGCTCCGGCACCCCCGATATGTCAATATCCCAAGGAAATACGGGAGCGGTACTTGGCCAAAGGGGTAGTAAAAATAAAGAAAACTTTATTGCCAACTCTGCCGCCTTTAGCGTCGCCTAGTCGAGGACGGTGTGCTTTTCTCTCGGCAGAACGAATTTCGGAAAAACTTTTCCAGTTCCGGATGCTTTTTCCTGACCGTGAATGTGCCAGGAGGATATTCGAGAGAGGATTAGATTTCAGGGGATTTTGTGGTGCGAAGGTATTCGGGACAGTGAACGCATAGTAGGGATGAGAGGGAGGGAGGGAGGGAATGAGAGAGAGAGAGAGAGAGAGAGAGAAAAATAGATAGATAGAAAGATCGAGAATGTCTCTATTTCTTTTCTCCGACGAAAAGCCGGACAGTATTCCAAATTGGATTTTTAATCCATCGATCCATGCTCGATTACAAGAGTTTGTTTAAGGAGATATAGATAGGTACATAGAGAGAGAGAGAGAGAGAGAGAGGGGAGGAAAGAGAGAGAGAGAGAGAGAGAGAGAGAAAGAAAATAAAAGAGAGGAACATCGATATAGGGAAAATAAAAAAAGAAATCTTGGCTGGAAGATCGTGAATGGTACGGTGGATGGAGAGAATAAAATGCGGGAGGATAGTGTACTTTGGAGAAGAAGCGTGCTGGCGCTGCGTCGAAGAAAGCTATTTGTAGAAAGAAACGAAAAAGTGAACGAGAAGAGAATAGTGAGAGAAAGAAAGTGAGAGAGAAAAAGAGACAGAGAGAGAGAGAGAGAGAGAGAGAGAGAAAGAAAGAGAAGAGACAAGGACGTCTATATAGAGGCGTCGATAAAGGAAATCCAAAGCGAACAAATACACAGGATCTATCTGCTCTTCTATCTTCTTCTTTCTGTCTCTCTCACTCTCTCTCTCTCTCTCTCTCTTTCTCTCTCTCTCTTTTTCTCTTTGTCACTCTCTTTCTCTCTCTCTGTCACTCTCTCTTTCTTTCTCTCTCTTTCTCTCTTGTGTACTCTCGGATTCTTAAATCGTATTCTTACGTATTGTCGTTAGATCTTTTTCTCATGAATTTTACGTTGTCCACTTTCTACGTAAGTATTAGAAAGTATTGCATCTGTACTCTAGATACATACGAATTTATGATTTATCACTGCGGTTAGATACACGAATCACAAATTGGACTAAGTTACTAAAGTGCGCGCGCGCGAGCGCGCCCTCATACGTACGCTAGTATGCGACCGTCACGTAATAGATGTCATGCTGATTAGCATCGGGTATTCCGTTCCAACCCCACTATTACTGGCTATTTGTATTATATATATATATATATATATATATATGTATGTATATATCTTCATCGTTGTCCTTGAATATGGATGAGAAATTCATTCATATATATGAACGAGTTTGTAAAATCGTTGCATTTAAAGATATACGTAAACATAGTCTAATCTCGTTGTTATTACGTTTTTTTCGTTCCATGCAAAAATTCATCCTTCAATAAAGCCTTACGAAACGACTTTTTCTTTTTCTTTTTTCTCTTCCTCCTTTTTTTCCCATCTTTTCTCTCTCTCTCTCTCTCTCTCTCCCTCTCTCCCTCTCTCTTTCTCATTCTATTTCTCTCTCTTTCTCTCTTTCTTTTTTTTTTTGGGTCGTTCGCGCGAGTGCGACAGAGAAATCGATTTTTCCGAATTTCCCATTTTATCGTCTTGGACCGCCTTTCCCGGCATTTCATGAAAATATGGTCTCTATCTTTCTTCCTTTTCTCTTTTTTTTTTTTTTTTGTATCAATTGGACTTATCTCTCATTCGACCACAAAACTCGATTTCAGCTGAAAATTCGGAAGGTTGGAGAAAGAAGGGAGGGAAGAGGAAGGAGGGAAATGAAGTAAAAAAAAAAAAAAAGAAAAGAAGAAACAAAATAATAATAATAATATTAATAATAATAATAATAATAATAATAATAATAATAATAATAATAATAATAATAATAAAGAGAAATAAAAGAAAAAAAAATGAGAAGGGCAAGGAAGTAAAGTCCTGAGAGATATAACGTGATTCCAGGTGGCATCGACTTTCGATAGGTAGGATCCACTTAGTGCTCACTTTGCGTCGACGTTAAATTCTAATGAAGCCGATATACTCTTGCCGAATTTGGAGAGACCCCAAAACCCTAGCTAGAGATGTTTCGAGTGTGTTTAGGAGTTGAGAGAGAGAGAGAGAGAGAGAGAGAGAGAGAGAGAGACGGTTTAAACACTATGCTATAAGTTCTTTAGCACGATGTGTACGTGACTATAATAATTTTCGTTCGAACAAGAATGGTACTATCGAGTTCTCTTCTATCTCACTCTCTTTCTCTTTCTCTCTCTCTCTCTCTCTCTCTCTTTCTCTTTCTCTCTCTTCATCTCACAAATTATCTCTCTGTATCACCTAGGCAGCTTGTTCCGCACATTACCATGGTAATAGACAAAACGGTGATCGGCGGACATGTAGGATGGCTTTTCCAAGGCCGTTCATTAGCTTCGATATTGGCACGAAACAAGCATGTAGGAAGTAATGTACAATGTAATTTAGGAAACCCTCCTATTCTCTGTATTCTCATCGTAACCAGTACCAACTCGATTCATTTCCGCACTGGTTAATCCTTTTGAACAGTATAATAATTTTCTGACTATTCGGATAAATATTTAGTTGCTAATTTCTCTTTCTCTGTCTCTCTGTCTCTCTCTCTCTCTCTCTCTTTCTCTTTTATCTTTATCTCATTAAAAGGTCATTTTAATTATTATATTTAGATCTTTCTCCGTTACAAACAACGTTACAATTCATTACTATATTTTATAATGTAAAGTTTAGACATTTGTAAAAACATTTATATACCCCGATAATAGATGTGTTTGTTTGTTGTCGTTAGTATAAATTGATTTGAAAGTGCGAGAAATAACATCCTACATCTATCGAACGTTCAACCGATAATTAGTATTAACAATACTCTCGGAGTTTAGCAATTAAATGATATGTAAGCGTATTGCGGTGTTCGATTTCGAAATTTGCATTGTGGCTATCGAGAGTCGACGTATCGATTATCATGGCTTTGTCGGACACTGGACAGAACTGTATCTACATATGTATGTTTCCCGGGACAGAAAGTCGACGTGTCCTTCGTGAAACAATGTCGGCAGATAATTAGATCATTGCTCTTGCGATTTCCAACGCAAATCGCATTTTTTCTACTTGGTTTTTTTTGCCTCTCTTTCTCTCTACAATGTTCTTTTTTTTTTCTTTTTCTTTTGCCTCTCCGTCTCTTCGCTCGTTTTTTTTCCATTTCTTTCTTTCTTTCTTCAATTCTCTT